AGAGTGTACTAGCTTGTTTTGAACAAACGTCAGTTCTCTGAGATGCTGACTTTCTCACACGAGTCTTAAGCCCTGTTGTTACTGGGATCACACAACTGAAGATTGTGGATCAAAGATGTTCATGGGATTATCACACACTTCAAGAGGTATTCCTTGATTTGTGTTTGAATAAAATTTGATATGTATCTTGTCTATCTCACATGCAAAGTTTATGGATTTTTGCTTCCGCTGTTTAAGCACATCTTCCATCATGTACCTTATTTAACTCTCCTTCAGACTTCAGGAGCATTCACCACATCTTCCTTTGAACTTACACTGATACCCAAAGTACTTAGATCTCCTGACTCGTCTTCATTTCGAATGTCAATCCTTAATTCCGTGGCATTTTCTGCAGGAATCTCCTCGTCCAAGTCTCAGCGCTTAATTTTCTGCAATATAGAGATAACTAAGAAAATAAAGTGTACTTTGTCTAATAACTTAGTTTTTGGATAAGAGTGTCACAGATTTCATTGGTATGTTATAAAGTGGCAAAGATCCTGAGTTTGAATCGCATAGCTATCCATTATAAAAAACCAAGTATTTAGCTCATGGAAAAGAATTAAGTTTGACTATAAGCTAAGAGCCATGTCATGCTGTAAAAGTAAATAAAAATATGTTTCTCAACAATTTAAGCTGTTAGATGAGCTGGTCACACGTTTTGCTCAATGAAAGCTGCAAGTGGCGGGAATTGTGATGACAATGTCGGCACGGCACATGGGACAATTGATGTGTGATTCGAGCCAAGTGTCAATGCAAGGTATGTGAAAAGCATGGTTACACTTTGGCAAAATCCTAAGAGTTTCATCTTCTTGTAACTCACTCAAGCAAACAGAGCACTCTGTTCCTTCAATTAGCCCTTCACCTTTTTTATACTTGCGGATTGTGATGGCGCTGATGACTGATTGCTGAAGACCCACTGTTTGAATATCACTTAACTCTTCTTCTCCTCCTCCTACTACTTGTTGCTCTGGTTGTGAAGAAGTTCTTGAGTTGCTGAATTTGTGGATGGCGTAGGCACAGAATATGTAGACAGCAATGCCTAAGACTGAAATTAGAAGGATCAAGAAGATGGAAACAGTGTGTTTATTTGGAGAATGCGGAAGAGTAACTTTAGGTGTGAAATTTGGTGGTGATGGTTCGAATTCTGGAAGCAGACAGATACGCGGGCAAGTATTAAAACATCGCAGCGGACAAACTATAGAACGATGCACCTCTGGGTTGCAATAATAGCTGCTACAAGTTTTGCTGGTGGAATTATCAAAAGATTCAGAGATCAGCTTTCGATCAATATGGAAGAACATGGCTACAGTTAATTGTTTAATGACAGATGAGAAGAAACGTACATATAATTGCTGGGGTCCTACCTTATTTCAAATTTTGTAGGCAAGAGGAAATAGAGCATCTTACAGCCTAGTTCATACACGACGATGAATGCCTTTTGATTTTTTCTTTTTCTCCTATTTTTGTTTTCATGTATGTGTCTCTTCTTATTGGACTTTTGTGAAGTCTTTGTATATTGGACGGCTTATTAAGACTGAATCACAGAAGCTGCCATTATTTTTTCCTCTTTTTCCCGCCCAATCTAAGCTGGCTCATGACAAATTGAACATTCATTTTTCCAAGTCAAGCGTCACCATAGATGTATTTTTATATGAAATAATGTACTATCTTTCATTCTAGTGCGTACATGCTTCAATAAATTGTTGGTATCTTAATTTATGTTGCTGATTTTTGTGATACAAAGTTACTTGTCCTGATTAGTTTTAACTGTTTTCACAAAATTTAGGAGCAATGCATTTGATCACAAAAATGTACGTGTAGCTTCATCACATTTTTATTTAAGATAAGATAGGCACAATAGCAAGATAAGGAGTTCAATAATGGTTTTAGCTTACAAGGAACAGGTTACTTGTTAGCCAATTTTTAAAGTTACTTTAAGCATAAAATAAGCATTTCTTGGCGTGTTAGGATCTTCTTTCTCACATGTTAAGCGCTAACTGTTCAAATAACAGCAATTCATTCCAACTTACACTTTAATTCCTCCTACAAAAATCGCGCTTCTATTTTAGTTGGTTAATTAACCATGTCTGCAAATTCTTCATCTTCATACAAAATCCGGAGTCTTGTTACTTTGCTTCACCAGTACTATAGAGTTCGCTTTGATGCTACATCCTCTCAGTTACAGGGTCTCCATGGCATAGTTCCAACAACTAGGATCAGTTATTGTGGTTCAGCAAGTCCAGGATTACGGTTTATCAGTTCAGGAGAGTATCGAATTCCCAATAAGAAGGATCGGTAACTAATTCTTCTCTACTCATTTTTTGTTTAGATAAGCAGAAAATATAACCTTGTATAAAAAAGATTGAATCTTGGTTCTTGATTGCATCTGTAAGGGGAAAAAATGAAGCAAGCAAGGTTCTTCCAGTAGAGCCACCTCCTTCTAAGCCCAATTTATTTGTTTGGTATGCAAATAATTAATAAATTGTCATCTTTTTTTTCTTTCCAATTATTGTGATTGATCATATGAATTTGATCTAGTGTACTATTACCAGGGCAAAATGGCTTTTGGGATCCATACTATCAATATTCCTCCCATTTTGGAAGCAAAATTTGGACAACATTCGAAGAATTGAAGGTATGAATTTTTCTAATTTTTAAATGAATAGTCGTGAATGTTGAAAATATAATTAAATAGTAATAAAAGTGTGCTATCTCTAACAGCTTAAACTTTTAGATGAGATGATCACATATTTCAACACGTCTAACATAACATGAACGTACGTTACAATAACAGACTGAAATGATAAAAAGAAAATCTTCATACGTAAGCCAAAGGAATTGATGTTTATTCAGGAGAAGTAGAGAAGGTGGCGGAAGAGGTGGAAGAAGCAGCGGAGGTAGTAGCGTTGGTGGCGAGTAAAACAGAAAATGTAATGGCAGTGGTTGCCGTTAAACTGCCTGAAAATAGTTTACTCAAAGAAGCAGCTGTAGCAATTGAAAATGCATCAGCTGTGGTTGCTAAAGATGCTCAATTTACTTGTAATTTCATTCACAAGGTTTGCAAACCAAATTGTTTTATATCTATATCTAATATCCTGTGTCGTAAATATCATCGTCTTAATTTTTGTTAATTAATTATTTTCAGCTGGTTTAGTCTCACTAATATGACAAATATATAATGGGTTAACAGGTTGAAGATGTGGAGCAAGACTTAAAGGACTTGGAGAAAATGGTTGAACCTTTTATTGAAAAAGTGGAAGAGCCCAAATGAGGCAATAAAATAGTAGTAGTAAATGTACATATTTTTATTTATTAGTGCCTCAAATATCATAAAAGAAGAGGCCTTATATATTCTTCATTTTTAGACACAATTCAGAACAATGTTAATACTGTGGAAAACATTTAATATTCTGAAGAGGTTAAGCCTACTTTCATATCATGATCAACATTTGGATAAGCGATAAAATCATGATTTTATATTGCAAAATTTTCAAAAAACATGATTTAAAATTTCAAAATTATTTAAAATATAAAATTTAACTCATAAGTTCATATTTTGTAAGAAGACAAAAATCTATTATTTTAAATTTTGCAAAAAAATATCATGCTCGGTGTGAAGAGATTGTCCATACCATATTAAAAGAGTATCTTTTTTTTTAGTCTTTTATATATTTGAAAATATGTAAAATAAATCAATTATAGATCACGATAACTAACAACTATAATATTTAAAAGATATGATGAATTATATTGACTCTCAAAATTAATAATTTTTTGATTTAATTAATCATAAAAAATTTAAAGTACACATTTTGTTAGAACATCATGAAATATGTATTTGACGAAAATTTTTTATTGCAAGTATTGTTGGATAACTATTTTTAGTATTGCGAATAAGTATAAATGAATGGGAGAGTAATTAGCACAATAATTTAAAAGATAAAAATAGAAAATGGTGTTCTATTTATACAATGTTCTTAGCTTTTATTCTGTGAATTGTTTCACAAATTTACTTAATATGAGACAGAGGAAGTATTGATTATGTTAATGGGAAATATTTCTCCGTTCAACAATATTTGTCCACTATACTATTTTGGGATGTCCAACAATATTTGTCTATTTTATGAAATCAATAGATAATTTTACACTTGGTTCCTAATGTACTCTTATCATTAATTATAGTCATTTCCTTATTACATTTTTCAAGGCATTGCATTTATTATATTCAAAAGGTGATATAGTAAAATTAGTAAATTATCTTTCTATTTACTCTCTCCGTCCCATTTTTTATGTCATCCCTTTCTATAAATAATTGGACCACAATACTTGTCATTTTATAAAATTTATGCATAAATTACCATATTTTGCCTATTATACCCTTGATAGAGTAGTTAATTAATCTTGAAAATGTATTCATCATTTATTATAAAGTTGAATTAAGAAAACATTAAATAAGGATAGAAGGATAAAGTTACATCATTTTTTAATGAAAGTGCAAAGTAAAAATGTTACATATAAAATATAGTTTATTGAGAAGAGCCAAAATCAAAACTCCTCCGATACAAGTCCTAGTTTGTTGCGCTGCTGTCTGTTTGGACAATTATTATTGGATAGAAGGAGTAAGATATATATATGTGAGTATTTTGAGGTACTGAGAAAGAACACATACATGCATTAATAAGAGAAGTTAAATTTTGGTTTTTTTGAGGTATTGGGAAAGAACACATACTTGCATTAATAAGAGAAATTAAATTTTGGGTTTTTTGAGGTATTGGGAAAGAACACATAATAGGATAAAACTGACAAAAATTAAACTAGTTACTGCCATGCCGTGTCAACTGACACATTATATATGAATCTAGGCCAGCAGATAGAGATGAATAAATACTTATTCAGAAACAACTTCATTACTACTATTATTTTGCTACTTTTGTTGTTTGTCAATTGTCAATCCTAATGTAATGGCCAATTTAGAGAAGATAAGGAAAATGTTGAAACCCTCAACTCCTACCCCCAATCATCTTCGGACCCTCAAACTTTCATTTTTCGATCAGCTCGCTCTTCCTGTATATGTCCCAATACTCTTCTACTACTTGCCCAGCGTTGATATTATATCATGTGATAAGCTTCAAAATTTTTTGGCTGAGACGCTAACCAAGTTTTACCCTCTAGCAGGTAGATTTAGTGAAGATGATGATGAACTCTCAATTCACTGCAATGACGAAGGTGTTGAACCACCCAAGATTGATCTTCTTCCTGAAATGGATCATCAGCCATCATGTCCATTACTTGGAATCCAAGTTAACTTATTCAATTGTGGAGGACTAGTCATAGGGACATACATTTCACATAAAATAGCTGATGCTTTCACTTTAGCAACATTTGTCAAGGAATGGGCTTACACTAGCTTTACAGGGACACTAAAAGCTGGCTCTCTCCCAAGTTTCGATCACTTGTCATCGCTCTTTCCCACCAGAGTGCTATCAGAAACGACTCAGTTTCCATCATACATTATTAATACTACTCGCCCTAAGATTGTCACGAGGAGGTTTATCTTTGATGCTTTAGCAATAGCAAACCTCAAAAATACAATTGAAGACTCAACTGCCATCAGGCCTATTCGAGTGGTGCTCATTATGTCGTTAATATGGAAGGTTCTTGTGGGCATTTCCACTGCCAAAAATGGACATTCAAGGGACTCGTCTTTATTATTTCTTATTAATTTGAGGGGAAAATCGAATTTACCATCGTTAGATAATGATGCTTTAGGGAATTGTACAATGTATGGAATTGCTAATTATATGGAGGCAAGAAAGGATCATGAGTTGAATGATTTTGTAAAGTTGGTAGGAAATACAATAGGGGACACATGTGTAGCCATTGGTAAGGCGGAAAGCGTTGATGACATTTCCTCTTTGATTGTTAACAATCAGAGAAAAGTTATAGAGAAATTTGCCCAAGGAGACGAGATTGATGTTTATCCGAGCACTAGTTGGTGCAGATTTTGTTGGTATGAAACTGACTTTGGTTGGGGAAAGCCATTCTGGGTGAGCCTCGTTGAGTGCGATGCTTTTGAAGGAATTAGTCTGATGGACACAAAAGATGGTGATGGAATAGAAGCATGGGTTTCTTTAAAGGAGAATGACATGGCTCAATTCGAGAGATACCCCAACATTTTGTCATCCACTTCAAAACTAGCATTTCCATTCCTTTCGATAAATTGAAACTATGTAGTAATATTTCTTGCTTTAATTTGTATTGCTTGTCCGTTCCTTTTTTTTTTTCATAATAAAAGAATAGTAATTACGTACCTTCTTTTATACTCCAGTCTCTGTCTATTCACTTTTACTTGTCACACTTTGATTTGACACACTAATTAAAAAAATAATTATTGATGTAAGTATTTTACCAAATTATCTCCTATTAAATTATGTCTTTAAATAAATATTTTATTTTGAGGGTAAAACATGAAATTTTTTTATTGCCTTTTCTTGATAGATTAAAAGTGATAAGTAAAAATGAAAATCTATTGTAGAAATAAGTGACAAGTAAAAGTGAACAGAAGGAGTAATAAATTGTTTGAAATTAATAAGACAGAACAAAGCCGACCTCCAGATGGAATATATTTGTATAATGCTAGCTTTAGTTAATTTTTCACCAAATTAGGGGTAGAAAGAATGTGAGATTTTTGCATATAGCCACTCAAAAATAGCTTAATTATGCTTCATAACTATAGTTTGCTAATTACGATTTGTAGCTACAATATTTTAGAGGGAGGAGAGAGGCGGACAGAGTGGAGAAAGGCGAATTGTATATGTATATCTGTCGAATTGTATATGTTTATCTGTCAAATAATTGTATATATTTAACTGATATACATATGTATTTCTATATCTGACAAGCAATATTGGGAGAGGGAGGAGACAGGTGAGCGAGATTGAGAGAGAGAGGAGAGAGGTGAGCGAGAGAGGGCAAAAAGTGAATAGAGGCGAATTGTATATGTATATCTGTCAGATAATTGTATATATGTAACTAATATACATATGCATTTGTATATCTGGCGAGCGGGATTGGGAGAGGGAGGAGAGAGGCAAGCGAGAGAGGGCAGAGAGTGGAGAAAGGCTAATTGTATTTGTATATCTCTCATATAATTTTGTGTGTATATATAATTTTAGTGACGTAATTACAGCTAAAATTAAGCTGCCAGCCGTAATTAATTCAAATTATAACTATGTTAGCTAATAAACTAGTATATGTTTGCTTATCCACGTAATTTTCCCAAAGACAATTGATATCTCTTTTCTTAGTTTGAGATTATAAATTCGTATAAAAATACAAGGTTAAGAATTCAAGATACAAATTTCAAGTAGAGCCGTCAGAATGGGCTTAGCCCATGTACTGGTCTAACCCAATTCGTTATTAGGTAGAATTGGGATGTGATTTTTCAAGCCCATTTAAATCTAGAGCTTATAAGTTCGATCCATATAAACCCTTGGGCCTTAAGGCTTGATCGAGGTCGGGTTGGGGCAAGCTCATGGGCCAAAACTATTTATTTAAGGGTAACTTACAGAAATCTTACTAGTGTATGAGCTAATTAATTAGACACGTTATGTTGTAATATTATGAATCTTACCAGATTTTGGTGCGTCTAAATACATGGACTCAAAATTAGATGTAATTTGTTCTAGATATACTCTATTCAAGTGGGTTCACATGTATTTAGGGTACATAGACAAATCTCATGCCCTCTCCTCCCTCCTATCTCACCTGCCACTCTCTTATCTCGCTCGCGTATTTGGGATGCATCTCACCAGATACATGTATCTCATGTATCTAGTATCCTAGATACATGCTAATCAACTAGAATTTTTGCTAGTGTTATTGAAATTTTAAGTTTGAAAAGAAGAAGAAGAAAAAAAAAGGGCTCCCCCCCTGCAATTCCCTTCTAGGGTTCGATTGGATTGAATATTTTCAAGCCTTTCCGAATGAAGGACGGACCCGACCTAACCCATCAAATTCCTTGGTCCACGAGGCTTGGGCCGGATGGGGCTAGTCCCTTTTTTACAATTCTAATTTCAAGGTATATATATTGTATTAAAATCTGAAGAAAAAATAATATAAACTGATCTTTCATGCCTTGCCTCTTTAGAAGATATATAAAAAAATATAGAGACTCGTGTTTGACGTGAAGAGATTATCTGTATTATGTGAAAGAATTATATTAAAGAATAGTTAGTTATTACATTTATTGGCTAGTGAATTTTTATAAAATTATGCATATTTAGTAGTTTGTAATCACAAGTATTTATTTATAAAAAATGATGTGTAAATACGAAAAAAAAGTCCCAACATTATAATTATGTTGAATATTGAATAATTCACTTATTTTAAACTATGAAAAAAATTCCACAATTTATTTAATATGAAATAGAAAAGATATTACTCTATCTATGTAGGTACTTGATACTAAATATAATATTAAAAGAAAGATAATACAATTCTATTTTAAACATAGGATCAAGTAAAATAAAACAATGAAATTACAAATTTATCTCATGAGTTGGGTAATAAAAAACCTAGGTTTCGATTGAAGAGAAATTATTAAGAGATCTAAATTTATTAATGCAGGCTACATATTGTTGCGGTATTTTTTGCAAAGTTTGACTTTATTGATTAGGGGTTCGGTGGCCTAGTGAGTTAGAGGGGGCGGGGTAGGTATTGGCATTATATCCCTATAGTTAGAAATAATACATAAAAATCTCCGTGAAATATAGTTAAATTGTATGTTACACATTCAAAATTAGGCTAGAGTTACACTACCTCTGAAATTTAATTGTTAAAGTTCCATTGGTTTTTAGGTTGGCAAAAGTTGAATGAAAAGTTTTTGATTCAGCACTTAAATATGTCATTTGTTAAAAGTTTGGCTCATCTATGCACTATGCTATTGTTGTTAAAGAAAAGGTTCATCCATGCCATTTTTTTAAATCCAATTTGTTAACCATTTTTTACACCACAAACAAGATTTAATACTCTTCAATAAAGTTGTTGGATCAAATGTACTATTTTTGCTTCTTCTTCCTTAAAAACATCAAGAACACATGAAGAATATAAATAACTCTCAAATTATCAACATCTTCAATTCTTCACAAACATCTTAAATTTCGGCTACATCATTAATTTTTTTTTTAAAACCAAAATTCTAAAATCATATGCAGAGTTTAAAAAATTCACCCATATTATAAAAAAAAATCCAAAAAAGAAGAAGATAATCAATCCCAAAATTTAATTTTTTTTCTTTGATTCGTGTTTTTGTAATTATTTTTGACATTAGATCTTTGTTCCCTACAGTTTTTTGAGTATATGTTCAAAATTTCAAATGATTTGAAGTTGTGGAGAAGATTCTACCATTAAAGAATATTGAAGTTTTGAAGTTTTGAAGTTTTGAAACTTTGAAGAAATTTCAAGTGGGTCTTGTTGAGTTAGTTTGAATTTGTGCTCAAAAGTTATTGAGTTTTGGTATATCTAGCTCGGAGGGAAACTACTCTTGAAGTTTGAGGTGATTTCGTGAAGAATTAAAGAAGTTTAAAATTTGAGAGTTGTTTATGTTCTTTATGTGTTTTTGATGGTCTTAAGGAACAAAAAGCAAAAAATAATACATTTGATCCAAAAATTAAAAAGTGTTAAACCTTGTTTGGGGTGTAAAAATGTGGTTTTGCAAAATTAGAGTTAAAAAAAGGACATGTATGAGCCTTTTCTTTAACATAAATGACATAGATAAGCCAAACTTTTAACAAACGACATAAATGAACCTTTTCTGAAAGTTTGATGATTTATTTGAGTCTTTTTCCTTTTATGTTTAATTTAACATTTAAGTCAGCCCGACCTATGTAGAAGAAAAGGCTGCACATACTAACAGGGTCTAATGGTTCATGGGAGAATAAGGAGAAGAAGAGGGTGGTCGTGGAGTTGTTAGGATGGTTAACGGAATCGACCATCATGCCCAAAAAGATCCGACCAATTGAAGGGGTGGTTCTTCTTCTTCCTCGTCTCAGGTGATCCTTTAATTTGTTGCCACTGTTTCCTTCAATCTTAGACAAATTAAGTTTTATGACAAAGGCCCTGCTGCTTACGGATTACGGAAATTAGGTCGTAATCTTTTTTCAAATCTTTTAGATTATGCAATTTTTGCTTCAAATATTTACGTATTTATATTAACTCTGCTAATTTAATTGTTCTGATTTTTGTTGTGTAAATTCTCTGTCCTGCAAAATCTTTTCTGATTTACCTTTAATTCGATCATTTTGGACAACTTTTCCCCCTCCGAGTTTGTATTCCTATATATACTATTTAAGTTAGTTCACTCTGATATACTTATCTCTTTTGAACCTTTACAAATATTCGTTTTTTACTAAAGTTGTGTTTGTTATTTCAACAACGACTGCTAATATTCATTGGTTTTTTGTCCATATTTTTTCTTTCTGAGTTTTAACTTGGTGTGCACTGATGTCTGCTATGTAATTCAACCAATTCATTACTACCTCACTTCATATATCTAACGTGAAGTTAACGACAAGTTCTCCTTTTGTTAGTATGACTCAAATTGATCCCAACTTTTACACTGGTTGAATTAGGTTGTGCTCAAATTGATATGCTGATGAATATATCCCCAACCTTAGCCACTAAAGTTTGATCTTACATTTTATGGTCAAAAAATTTGACACCCTTACTCTTCATGGAATAAATACTTATTACTGCCAAACTAATTTTTGCTTCATATTTTGAGGAAACAAGGGCTGCCATACACATTACACTCTCCAGACCCCACTTGTGGGATTACAATGGGTATGTTGTTGCATATTTTGGCCGTTTTCTGTATTGAGTTACAAGGTCTATTTTATATTAATTTGGAAAGCAAAATGTCGATACTACTAAAGCTATAAACATTGATGATTATGCCGCCGAAAATAATCCTGTTGATGTCTCTGATAATGCTGTTCTACTAAGGCTTCTCGTGAGTTAAAGTAATAGGATTTGCAGTGATGTTTTTCCACTGCGGCAACTTCATATGTTTTTCTGTCACACCAACTTGGGACCTTCACTTTGGATTAGTCTTGAAAACATAGATATGCACCCAACCCCATTTGCAGATCAATTTGCGAATTCAATAGCCTTCATAATTTTACAGAAACTGTATCTTCATTATGAATCTGACAGTCTTTTCAATAGTAAAAACATAACATTTTATATATTTTCTTAGTGACACATCCAAATTTCGACACAAACTTATTGAGCCCATGCTATACACGGACAACTTTCTGTGAAACAAGTTTCTCTATTGCACTATCAAGCTGGCATAACATGATGTATCATTTTACGAATTTCCTCGTCAAGTCTCAGCACTAAATTCTGCAATATAGAGATGACTTAAGAAAATAAAGTGTACTTTGTCTACTAACTTAGTTTTTAGATAAGATAGTCACACATTTTATTAGTATGTTATAAAGCGGCAAAGATCCTGAGTTTGAATCTCATATCTATCCATTATAAAATAAAACAGTACTTAGCTCATGGAAAAGAAATAAGGCAGACCCCAGCAGTTAACAGATAATTTCGATCAAACTTGTAGCAGCTATTATAGGAGGGATAACTTATCCGGATACTAATTCTTAATTCCGGAATAAGTCATCCCAAACTTTGCAACCAAACAAGGGACTAAAGAATACTTAAAATTTATCCCGAGGTTAACTCTCCTTTTCTCAAAGGATATCCACTTTGAAGAAATAGGTAAATAATTCAATTACTTTAACAAGATCATATTTACTAAAAAACAATTAAAATACATCACTATAATTTTCTTCGATGATGACAATCTAAAATGAAAAAGGAAAAAAAAAACTCAATTAACCAACAATTTCATCACTTATATTTTTATATATATATAATATATTAACAAGAAGTGACTAGGTTGGCGTATTGCCAAGTTGGTATTTATCAAAAAAAAAAATTAAGAGAGAAGAAAAACCCTTGAGAAAGTGCATGTACGTGGGCGGATCAAAGTTGTCAATCATTGAACTAGGAGAGCAATTTTTATAAAATGTGGATTGAAAACTCAAATAATACACATTTTATAAAATATGGATTAAAAAAAATATTAGGACATTCTTTAAGGTTTGGCTTTATGCTCCAATCTAATTGAGTCGACCCTGAGAATATGTTATAGAATATGAAGAGTGTGATTGTGCATAATCAAATGAGAATATTGTGTCAGATTTTAGAGTTAAAGAATACAATCGTATTTGATACGATGAAGAAAGTCTAACACATGATAATTGAAGCCCCTAATTAATTGTTTAATCCAATTTCCATGCCATGTTTATTAAATAAATAAACTAAGGCCTAAAAAGTTGCATAATTGCATAAACATGTTGGGCAGTTGAAACTAATGGCCTGCCAGGCATATGAATTGGAACCATGTTCGAGATCTTGATCTTTAAAAATATTCAAGAGTTTATGGGATATTTTGAGATGTCTTTTAAGGGAATTTTGTACCCTTTATATAGGTGTAAACTAGGGTTTAGGGTTGAGTAACCTCCAAAAATCCTAATTTGAGTTGAACACAATTTGTACAGTCTCAATTCGAATGGAACACATCTTGTAGAGTTTCACAAAATTGCAATGTCTACAAGTCAACTTGATTCATTTTTAAAATTAGAACACATTACTTCGATATTTTAAACAAAAAAAAAAATAGTTATTCAAAAACTATACGAAAAGTACTATATATTGCAATATTTTGCATATTATTAATATGATGAAAAAATTACTCATTGAAACCACCCGTGTATATTATACTTTGACGGTATCAAGAAGGAAGAAACATTCCTTCAATGAAAACACTATCGAGTTACTCTGCCATCAGAGTATATTCATATATGGTAATATACTGTGATATTATCAGAGAGGAAAAAAGGGAAGGGTAGGCCCCGTCGTTTTAAAATAAAAAGAGAATATGAAAGTAATGAGACATTTAAGGTTAAATATTTTACTTTTTTTTGGAGTATAAGTGTTCTTTTCTGATCACGTCATTTTAATCCAATCGTTTATTTGAAAAAAGTTTTGCAATAATTATGGATAAAATCAACGAAACAGATGAGTTAGAAAGAGTATGTTGTGTTTTTCTTATGTACAAATGATAAATTGAAAGATTATATAATTTACATATAAAAGTATTAAATTAATTTGAAGCCGAGATTATGAAGAGTGTGAATGTGATTTTTGCATAATCAAAAGAGAATATTGTGTCAGATTTTTAGAGTAATACAATACAATCGTATTTGATAGGATCAAGAAAATGCAAGACATGATAATTGAATCCCCTAAATTGTTTAATCAAATTTCCATTTCCATGTTTATGGAGTACTACTTAATAAATAATCATATAAAAATTAAAAGTTGGGGAAACATGTTGGGCAGTCTGTCTGTAGAGTTGAAACTATATATATATATATATATATTGTATAGTACAAAGTAGAAAGAGAGAATTAAGAAAACAAGCAATACTCAAAGTAAACCAAATCCTATTATTATAATGGCCAGGTTAGATATTGAAATTCAGACGAGGAAAATGTTGAAACCCTCATCTCCTACCCCAGATAATCTTCGGAGACTGAAGCTTTCCTTGTTTGATCAGCTGGCTCATCGTGCATATGTGACAATGCTCTTAAACTACTTGCCGAGCAGCAGTGATCATGAAACAATATCATATGATAAGCTTGAAAAATCATTGGCGGAGACGCTAACCAAGTTTTACCCTTTTGCTGGAAGATTTGGAAAAGATGATCCATTCTCAATCGACTGCAATGATGAAGGTGTTGAGTATGTTCAAACCAAAGTCAATGCAGACGATCTTCCTGAATTTCTCCGTCGTCAAGCCAATGATATTGAGTTGTCTTTGCTTGATCTTATTCTTCCTGTTAATGGTTCATATGCCATCAAGTCCATTACTTGGTGTCCAAGTGAATGTATTTAATAATGGAGGAATAGCTATAGGGATAAAAATTTCGCACATCATAGCTGATGCTTTCACTATAGCAACATTTGTTAATGAATGGGCGCACACTTGCCTTACAGGGACCATCACACAAGATACTAATCATTGTTTTGGTCAATTGTCATCGCTCTTTCCAGCAAGAATGCTACAGTTTCCATCACCTCCCAACACTAGTACTACTGGCCCTGAGATTGTCACAAGGAGGTTTGTCTTTGATGCTTTGGCAATAGAAAACATTAGAAAAACAATAAAAAAAGATTCAACTAGTGATGACGACATGATCAAGCAGCCTTCTAGAGTGGTGGTCGTGATGTCCGTAATATGGAAGGTTCTTACACACATTTCTTCCGCCAAAAATGGAAATTCAAGGGACTCGTCTTTAGGATTTTCTATTAATTTGAGGGGAAAACTGTCATGTGTACCGTCTTTAGAGCATGCTCTAGGGAATTTTGTAATGATAGCAATTGCTAATATGGAGGCCGATGAGGTAAGAAAGGATGAGTTGAATGATTTTGTAAAGTTGGTAGGAAATACAATACGGGACACATGTGCAGCCATTGGTAAGGCATCAAGCGTTGATGATATTTCCTCTTTAACTGTTAACAATCGAAAAAAAGGTGTAGAAAAACTTGTCCAAGGAGACAAGATGGACGTTTATACCGTCACTAGTTGGTGCAAATTGCCTTGGTATGAAGCTGACTTTGGTTGGGGAAAACCATTTTGGGTGAGCCCCGTTGGCTTCAATGCTATTGAAGGAGCTTTTCTGATGGACACAAAAGATGGTAATGGCATACAAGTAACGGTTTGTTTGAAGGAGAAAAACATGACTGAATTCCAGAAACATCTTGACATTTTGTCCACTCCCATAGTTGGATAAAATGAAACTATAATATTTCTTGTTTTGCTTTGCTTTGCTTGTTGCTTCTTGTTTTCTTCATTCATCGCAAATTAAACCAATGTTTGGCTATGAGATTAATTAGCCAACTGGTTGATATTCATAGTAACTCAATCTTTCTTGTCTACTTGGTCTTGTAAAATTAATCGATTATAATTGTGAAATCATCATTTTAACAATCGAAGTCAATTCTTTTATTTTTAACTTTGAGGGCTACAGTATGTTAGATTACTTGAAATAAGATCACAAGAATGTAATAAAATCAAACTGATCTTTAGAATATAATATAAAACGTCCTCGGATTCCTCTACCAACACCAAGTACAATCTAAATCTAAAGTAGAAAACAAGGATTGTTCAACATAAAAAAAAAGACTCATACTTGACATTAGTTAGTTACTATTATTATTGACTAGTAGATTTTTATAAAATTATGTGTATTTAGTAATTTATAATCGCAAATATTTACTTATAAAATAAAATAAAGATATTCGTTTTTATCAATGTTGTGCTTTAAAATATTTCGATATCTGATTTATCAACTATGATTTGCTCATTTGATAACACTAGTTTCTGAACACGTGCGGAATTTTTATAGATATGCTGTTAGAATGACTAAAATTCTATGGGAACATGTATGTAATGAGTAACAAAATGCAACAATTACAAAGAATTCTTCAATAATATGACCAAAAAACACAAAATGAAGGGTGTATTCAATAATAATATAGACGGAAAAATAAATAAAAAGTAAAGTACATAATTTTCTGAGCTCTTATTGACTCCTTCTCCCATATCCTATCAAAATTCAAGAGTCTTATTCATCTACTTTAGCTATAAAATAAAAATGATAGCTTTGATAGGGCTTTCATGAAATAAAAATGTTGAATTTATATACATAGATAGAAATGAAGGAATACCAAAAGAAATGTTAAAGTTTTAGATTAAATATTTAGAGGTTATAAATATGAAAAAATGAGAGTT